GGAGCTGGAAAGCAGGATACTGGGGTATAGAGGGAATGGAGATTTTACAATGGAGTGGGGTAGGAATGGAGATTTTGCGGTATCCTTCCTCCCCCACACTCACCAAGCCATGCCATGCCCACCAAGCCACACCCACAAAACCGATAGTAAATTTTTTTGAATCCCAACACTGGGCCATGCTACTGCCGTGACAGGGCAATAGGTCTTTCATCCCTCTGCTGCGACAGGGTGACAGGGAGCAGCAGCAGAAGGCCCAAAGAGCCACATGTGGCTCCGGGGCCACAGGTTGCCAACCCCCATTCTAGTAGCTTGTCCTGTCAGTGTTGGAGGGGGAGACTTAGAGGTTCTTTGTTTCTTCTGTTTACCGTTGACTTGTTTAGCAGTTCCTTTATTGAGGTATTGTTTACTTGGTCTGATGTTAATCTTAGAGTTTATGCTCCTCTGGATACTGATTGCTGGTGGAGAAATGCTTTTGGTCTTTTTGTCCTACTTTTGCTCTGTTGATTGTCTCTTTTCTATAATCTATAGTTATTGTTTATGTGTCTTTTGATGGCTAATTTGTCAGAGTGCCATGCTTCTAACAATTCCCTAGCGTTTTTGGACTTGCTTGGTCTAGGATGGTCACGATTTCCCAATTGAAACTATGGTTTATGAAACTATTCCCATTCAAACATATGGACATACATAACCACAGTCGTTACTAGCACTAATGATTTAACTAGTTTGGGTAATGAAATGTCTGCAGTAAAACAACCAAGTTCAGTCAGCACCAAGATCCCTAATGACAGAGTAGTAGTAGCAACAGTTTTCCAAATATTCTTATAGAAATTAATAAATATTTGACTCAAGTACATTACCACTTTTAGTCAGCAGGAACTTATTTTTCCTCTCACCTACTGAAGTTTACAGTTGTGTATCTTTCAGTAAGAAAAAGGGCTTACGAAATAGAACACATTTTTGTTCTGGACCCAGGACCCAGCAGCACTGTCTGAGACATTCAATTGGAGTGAGCTTGCAAGTATGCATCCCTGCGCCTTGAAGAGGTGTACATGTATGTGATAACAAACACTGGGAATTGCACCCTAAACTTTATAGGGAGCCCTGCATCTCAGAAACCAGTAATAGCGTCTTCATCTATAATACTCCTTCAACTGCATTCTGCAGCTTCTGGTTAGTTTTCAAGGTAGTTTTGTGTGGATGCATAGCAGTGGTCTGAGCAAGATACAATCGGGGCACAATGATTATAAGTAGCAGCTCTCAGTCTAGAAGCAGGCATGATTGGTGTTGCAGAAAGCAGACATCAACCTGACCAAGTGGGCTGGGGAGCTCAGAAGATGAGGTCGAGCGGGTCATCACCACAAGATCCCCGACTGGTTCCTCAACAGGCAGAAGGATGTCAAAGACGTCAAGTACAGCCAGGTCTTGGCCAATAGGCTGGACAACAAGCTGTGTCTGGAGAACCGGTAGCGGCGATGAACAGTGGAGACCGAACCGGTTCTCTTCGCTGCTCTGTGGTTGGCCCACCTGCCCATCCAAGCTCCCATACTCACTTTTATGGCCAGAATTCAAAGCGCAGCTGCTTTGCGCAGCGCAGAATAGTGCCGTGCAGCAGCTGCTACAGCGACCACCATTGTGCAGGCTTGCAGGAGGCAAGTTAGAATGCCTCTGAGCCTGCGCAAAGTGCGTGTTTGGCGCGCGGGTGCACGCAAAGTGTGTGCATGCGTGCAAAGCGCGGCCACCAAGCCATGCCCACGGAACCGGTGGCAACTTTATTTGAATACCACCACTGGTGCAATTGCCTAGCCATAGGTATGAAGCATGTGTATTGTTTTTCTTACTGTTCATACAACAAGGTGACGGACTGGGTGTATCTGTTCATGTGGAAGCAGACCACAGATCTACAATCAGTGGCTTCCAAAAACAGTAATTCAGGTATTCGGATCAGCCACCTGGGAAGAAGATGGAATGTGTGGTTATAGAACTCCTATATGTTGAATAGACTTATAATTACAGACTGTGCTTGAAATAATAACTAATGAAACTGCTATTGCTTTAACTTTAATGGCTAAATAGCAGACTCAGTTTACATCTTAGGCTTTGGAGATCTCCTCCTCCTCCCCTATTTCATCCCTCTGATCCAGCGTATGGTTACCTCTCCTATCACTGGGATGGCAGTCTTAGCCTCCTCAGTGTCCATTGACCCCCCCTCTTCTCCCCCCCTCATTAGACCAGCAAAACTCATGATCTTTAAATGCTCCCCTAGTCCACCATTGACAGGAAGCATCCTTTCATAACAAAAGGGAGGAAAGGGGTGGAAGGGCATGGGCAAGACATTGCCCACATTGAATAATGAACTTTTGTCTCTGATTGGATAAACTTTGTTTCTATTGGCATATATAATACAGGGTGTGGCTATTTCTTACATGCATTTTGTCTGTATGTTTTGGATATAGTATTCACCCAAACTTTTTACTGTGGCCAAAGAATAAAAAAAGTTGTTATTTTTGCAAGACTTGTCTCAAGTCTCACTCTCTTTAGCATCTCAGTGGCTCGGGAAAACTTTTGAGACCTTACAAGTGGAAGGAAGAAGAAAGGAGTATTAGAAGGAAGGAAAAGAAGTAAGGGAAGGAAGGAGATTATAATGAGAGGGAGAGAGGGTCTGAGGGAAGTCCTGCCTTAGCACTTGGCCCACCAGCAGTCCTGCTGTCCTTTTGCCATCCCCTTATCTCCTCCTCCTGACCTCTCCTGGTGGTTTCCCATCCTATTGCTGCGGATGCTTTGATTACAAAGCTGGGTGTCCTTATGTGGAAGGGAAGTGAGCCTCTCTCTGACCCAGACACTTTGTCCTCCTGCACACACCATCATGAGCAACCTGATCAAGGAGAGGGAGAACAGCAGCAGCAGCCTCAAGGAGGAGGTAAGTACAGCCAGGCACCCCCTCCAGGAAGCAGGGCTGGGCTGGGTTGTGGGATCCCTGGTGCCTTGGTGCTCGAGGACCAGGCTGGGCACTTGCCCTTTGCTGCCCTCTGGACAGCCTGCACCACCATCTGGGGGTCCTCCATGTGGCCTGAGAGGGATAGTGAGGTTCCTCTGGAGGAAAAGGGTTTGGTACTGTCCTTGGTCTCGCCTTCCTCTGCTGGAGACAATGGATTCCCCCAGCCCCGCCCGGGCCATCACAGGTGCCCCTAACACAAGTGATGTCGAGTAGGCCATGCCCACCCTAGCCACACCCACCCTGGTCACACCCACCCCAGCCCCCCAAGATCAAACACCACCCTAATGCGGCCCTCAATGAAATCGAGTTTCACACCCCTGCTTTAGAGTGTAAGTCATGAAATAATGAACTGAACATAAAGGTCAAGTTCCAACTGAATAATCAAAAAAATGTTCTTTAATAATATTAATACAGTATTAACTAGAAACATAATTAATTTCTCTCACTGCAATTTTCAGTCAAATGCTATGGAATCATCTATCCTGAATGTTTTGAGTTCTTGCAAAGAGCAGAGGATTGCATGTTGGCCTAAGTGTCTTCTTACGTTATTATGATTTTATGTGGGGGTGGGGGTGGGGAACTGAAAGGTTATGACACAAAATGAAATTCCACTGAAAATGTCTATTGTATCACCCGTACAGAATTCATATGGCATTCCACAATGAGTCTGAAATTGTATACAAAGAAAGTAATTAGGGTTGTTTTGGCTCCACAAATGGCACTAGTGCACTATCCAAGGGAACTGTGATGAAATTTATCTGTGAATGGGTCTCCTGATTCTTATTAGAATTTTTATTCCAATTCTTTTAGAAATAATATTAACTACCATTTCCAGCAGGGAATGCCAAAGTTTTTGACTAGATTCAGCTTAAAACAATATTTTGGAAGAATGAAAAAATGTATCCTTACTGCTGCTAAATAAAGAGCAGAATGTGTTCATGCAATCAACAAAAGATGAACTTGTCTTTATTGTACTTTATCCAGGGGTGGGATTCTATAAACCAGTTGTTATGATTCTGCCCAGTTCAGAGAACCAGCAAATTGCACCACCGGCTGGCCCCACCCCTTCTCTCCCTGCCCACTCACTCCTTACCTAGCATGCGCACCATCAAACTTGCCTGCATTTGGTAAGTTGCTATTTTTCCTTTTTTCCCCCTGACCATCAGCTGTTCTGCTTTGCCAGGAGATTTAGATTAGCTAGAAAGCAGGAAAGCATTGGATATCTTGCTTTCTAGCTAATCTAAAAGCAGAGCTGAACCTTCCTTAGAACTGAAGCTTCTATTTTTCAGTGCAGACTCAGGTAGCAGATTGCAGAATCATAGATCTCTAAGTGAATCTGTGATTCTGTGAGCAACTCAATCTGCCTGCCTGCTTTGCCTGATTTTAAGAGTTGCTCTTTTTAAATAAAAAAAATCAATATTTACATCAATATTTATAATATTTACATACAAGCCATGCCTAGCCAGTCACATGACCAAGCCACACCCACAAATTAGGCCACACCCACAGAACCGGTTGTTAAGAAGTTTGAATCCCACCCGACTTTATCAGGAAGAAATATTAATTCAGTTGCTCTGGAATTTACTGGATTCTTTATTCCTCTTTAAACTTTGGTATTTTATAGATTAATTTTCAAGTATCTAATATTGAGGTTAAAATAAGAGACATTATCTGGTTAATATTGATTCGATTTTAAAAAAAGAATTTTTTAAATTTACATTAGCATGGAATTTTGAAAATGATACAAATGCAATTTCCAACTGAATAATCAACTCATTATGGGAATTTTTCTTTCAGGATACATATCCGACAAATTAAAACGTCTGATTCCCCCTTTAAAGGTCTTTTTATTAATCTTTTTTCTTGCTTTCCTTAGTAGATCACGATCTCTTAAATATCAAACGCATCTATACAGGCGAAAATTCAAAAAGGCGTTGTTGGGATCCGTCTCCATGGTGATTTCCGTTACGTCTGTTCTGCCAGGCGCTTTGAAATGACGTTATCACACCGCTTCTTTTAACGGAGGCGTTTGGATGATTCATACGTAACGTAATTTGAATGGGTTCAGGGGAGAAAGTGGGGAAGTGTATATGAACGAAGAGAAGAAAAATGGTTTTGTAATGGCGGACTTGAAAGCTCCAGAACCTCTGGAAATCGAAAACAGGTAGTATGTGAGTGGGAACGGAGAATTAACTACTGATTGGTAGGCCTAAAGATAGTATGGGTCGAACTTGGGGGGGGGGGGGGGTGGGGTAGGACGCGGGGCGGGGTTAACGCGTAGGAATGAGAAAACCTGGATGGAATTAATGAATGTAGGATGTGTTGACACATTTGATTTTGAGGGAAGTTGTTCAAAGTGGTTGAACAAGTTTTAGTTTTCGAACACGCGTCTATTTCTTTAAGTGCTAATTGTTGAGAAGTCAGTGTCTTTTTATTCGCAAAATAATTGATATTAGATATAGATTTTAGCCAATTTAATTTTCATGTAAACTGCAAAGAACAAATTGTTTACATAATTCATTTCCATGTTTTCTGACTTTATTTTATGCTTTTATGTTTCTTTTCATTTGTATTTGCCTCTTTATGGGTGGAACATGTTTTTATTTATTTTATAGTCTCACTAGTAGACTCATAATTTTATAAGAAGAAAAGAGTACACAAATTTAGAGTTAAGTGTATTTGTCTTACCACTTCTATTTTGCCCAGGATAATGGAGCTGTGCCATCAGTTTCCCCATGGTATTACAGACCAAGTAATTCAGAATGACATGCCTCACATGGAAGCTCAGCAACGGGCTATGGCCATTAACAGACTGCTATCTATGGTAACAGCTTCTGAATTGTATGTGGTTGTTGTTAAAAAAGTTATCCAGTTGCAAAAACTATGTTCTATGTAGTAAGTACTATTTTAAAGTAAGAATACAATTTACAGTTTTCATCAACCTATAAGTTCGTATTTAGATTGCTGCATCCTTGCCATTCTAGGATTCTTAACATGTCCCTTATGAATTTAGTGTCCTTTATCCTGTTGGGGGAAAAAACCCTTTGATTTAAAAAAAACACTTCACATGTTAATTTTATTATAATTTCTTTTGACAATATTTTATAATATGTTAACTGTTTAATTCCTGCTTACATATTTATTACTCAAAGTTAGTTTCAAATGGAACAGCATAAGTAAAAATTAAACAATAGATGAAACAATAGGAATACGAGCTTGCCAATGAATAGAAGCTCACTGAAAACTATAGCCAGTCTATGCTTTTTAACATATGTATCTGTATTGTTATAATTCTCTGAAAACAATTATAGTATGGAATTTATTTCTTTATATTCTGCTTTTTAATCAGGAACTCTAGGCAGTATGTCTGCATCTCTTAAAAGTGTAAACCATTCATTGGTTTGCAGAAGAAGGATGAAGTAATTATTCCTAATAAGAGTCAGGGTTACTGAATTTGACTAATTTTGTGACTGAAGACTTTATATTTATTTATTTATTATATTTTATATTTCTTAATCTTCCATCTCCCTCACAGATAGGCAGTTAAGAAATATATTGCTTCCTGTTATGTATATATTATTAGAAATCTGTTTAAATGCTTTAAAGTTGTGTGTATTCTCTTAGGGTCAACTAGATCTTTTGAGAAGCAGTGGTGGACTTCTCTACAGAATCAAGGAATCTCAGAATGCTACGTATGAATTATTTTTTTACTCTTGTTAAAATTGTCCATCAGTTTCTTAGTATGAAAAAGCAGTAGAGATTATTTATTTAGCATAAGATGAGAACATAACAGAAGTGAAGTAAACATATACACACAATTTATGTAATTATATACAAAACTTCTACAGGGTTATGGCAGGGAACCAGGGTTCTAGGGAACCAGAGAATCTTTCCATCCCCACTGATACATAGTGACTAAATTAGTAGACCAGTGAAATACTGTGGACATAATATATTTAGACTTTAGCAAGGCATTTGACAAAGTTGACTACAACCTACTTCTTGGTAAGCTAGAAAAAGGTGGGATAGAAAGCATCACCATCAGATGGATTTGTAACTGGCTGACAAACCATACTCAATGAGTAGTCTTCAATGGTACATCTACATGGAGGGAAGAAAGCAGTGGGGTACCACAAAGTTCCATCTTAAGGCTCAGTACTCTTCAACATCTTCATAAATGACCTAGATCAGGGGTCCCCAACCACCGGGCCGCGGACCGGTACCGGGCCGTGGAGCACTCTCTACCGGGCCGCAAAGAATTTTTTTAAAAAAAAAAATGGCGGCTTTCTTCACCTTCGGTGAATGCTGCTGGGATCGGGGATCAAGGACACAAATGAAAGAAGGGGAGGGAGGAAGCAACCGAAGCCTGTCCTTCTCTCTGGGTCAGCTCTCTCAGTCGCTCTCTCGCTCCTCCACCAGCACAGGAAGAAACTGCTTCAAAGAAGCGGGGGGGGGGGCTTTTCCTGTCGCCGCAGCTTCCCCGAAGCGCCCGTTTCTCCCCCACCCCCACCCCGTCCGCCCGCCCGCCCGCAGTGCTCCGTTCTGCCTGCCTGCCTGCCTTCGTTAATGGTTGAATCGGAACAGCTTCGGCTGAGTAAAAGAGGCGAATAGTTATTATTCTCAGCCGAAGCTGCTCCCAAACAACCAGAAACTAAGGCAGGCAGGCAGGCAGGCAGAACGGGACACTGTGGATTGAAGCGCGCGCGGGCGGGCGGGGTGGGGGTGGGGGTGAAACGGGCGCTTCGGAATAGCTGCGACGACAGGAAAAGCCCCCCCCCCCCTCCTCTCCCCCCCCCCCCCCCGGTCCTTGGAAAAATTTTCTGCTTGAAACCGGTCCCTGGTACAAAAAAGGTTGGGGACCACTGACCTAGATGACTGAATAGAAGGGGAACTTACCAAATTTGCAAATGATGCTAAGCTTGCAAGAATAGCCAATACCCTAGAAGATAGGCTCAAGATCCAGATGGATCTTGACAGACTTTTAACACTGGGCCCTATCTAACAAAATGAAATTAAATGTAGAGAAAAGTAAAGTCTTAAACTTAGGCAAGAAAACCAAAAGTACAAATATAGACCGGGAAAAACCAGGCTTAAGAGCAGTAATATTGGAGTGTTAGTAGACAACCAATTAAATATGAACTAACTGTGTGACGGCAGCCAAAAAAGCCAATGCAGTCCTAAATTGCATTAACAGAGGGATACAATCAAGATCAAGTGAGAGAATAGAATAGAATAGAATTCTTTATTGGCCAAGTGTGATTGGACACAAGGAATTTGTCTTGGTGCATATGCTCTCAAGTGTACATAAGATACATTCGTCAAGAGTCAAGAATCATAAGGTACAACACTTAATAGCCATTGGGTACAATAAGCAAACAAATCATTCTAGAAAACAGTCAATATAAATTGTGAAGGATACAAGCAACGAACTTACAGTCCTACAGTCACAAGTGGGAGGGGATAGGTGATAAGGAGTGATGAGAAGATTAATAGTAATAGTGCAGACTTTGTAAATAGTTGAACAGTGTTGAGGGAATTATTTGTTTAGCAGAGTGTAGGTGTTCAGGAAATTCTGTTCTTGTGTCTAGTTGTTCTGGTGTGCTGTGCTCTATAGCATCGTTTTGAGGGTAGGAGTTGAAGTAGTTTATGTCCGGGATGTGAGGGGTCTGTAAATATTTTCACAGCCCTCTTTTTGACTCGTGTAGTATACAGGTCCTTGATTGAAAGCAAGTTGGTAGTAATTTTTTTTTCTGCAGTCCTAATTATCCTCTGAAGTCTGTGTCTGTCCTGTTGGGTTGCAGAACCAAACCCAACAGGACAGTTATAGAGGTGCAGATGACAGACTCAATAATTCGTCTGTAGAATTGTATCAGCAGCTCCTTGGGCAGTTTGAGCTTTCTGAGTTGGCGCAGAAAGAACATTCTTTGTTGTGCTTTTTTGAGGACATTTTTGATGTTAGGTGTCCATTTTAGGTCTTGTGAAATGATAGAACCTAGAAATTTGAAGGTCTCTACTGTTGATACTGTGTTGTCTAGTATTGTAAGAGGTGGTAGTATGGGAGGGTTTCTTCTAAAGCCTACCACCATTTCTATGGTTTTGAGTGTGTTCAGTTCCAGATTGTTCCGGTTACACCACTAGGCATGTTGAACAACCTCCTGTCTGCAGATTTGTCGTCTCAAATGAGATCAATCACTGCTGTATCTGCAAACTTCAGTATTTTAACAGATGGATCGTTTGAGATGCAGTCATTGGTATATACGAAGAAGAGAAGTGGAGAAAGCACACAGCCTTGGGGGGGGGGGCTGTGCTAATTGTATAGGTATCAGATGTGATTCTGCCTAGCTTCACCTACTGCTTCCTGCTTTAGGAAGCTTATGATCCACTTACAAGTGTGTTCAGGTACCGCTAGCTGGTTTAATTTAGTTAGAATAATGTCTGGAATGATGGTATTGAATGCTGAACTGAAGTCTACAAACAGGACCTTTGCGTAGGTATTAGGAGATTCAAGGTGTTGCAGAATGTAGTGCAGAGCAGGGGTCACCAATCTTTTGGACCTCAGGGACCACCAAACTCCAAGCTCCAGCAAAAGATCCTTACAGAATCATAGAATAGCAAGGTTAGAAGGGTGTGTGTGTGTGTGTGTGCATGGCTGTCAAAATTCCAAAAACAGGTCAAGTAGCTCTGGGGAGGTCAGTCATAAATTAGAATACTTGCTAAGCAACTGGCCATTAAGCGAGGACCACTTGTATTTGGTTTGCCAGTCACATGGCCATCTGGCCACACCCACCCAGTCACATGACCACCCACAAATTAAGCCATGCCCACAGAACTGGTTGTTAAAAAATTTGAATCCCACCCCTGCTTTTGTAGTATAAGCTACTTTGTTGAAGTCTTTGAACCATTTTGCCCTAAAAAACATGTGCTACTGGTAGGACGGAATACATGTGAGCTGATGTGTGAGAGATCAGGAAGCCAAGTGATCTCATTTTGCTGAGAGGATTCCAGTGAGAGAATTCCAGTGGTTATAATTATTCAAGATTAGTTTTTTCTTGAGTTTCAGGAAGGAATACTTCCCTTCTATCTGTTCTCCATGTTTACCAAAGCTTTTTGATCTTTGAAAAATGAAAATATGTTCACTTTACATTATTTTTTCTTGCAGCAAAATGAAGGGATCTGACAATCAGGAGAAACTGGTATATCAGATTATAGAGGACGCAGGAGATAAAGGTCTGTGTCTGGTTTATCTGGTGTCCTGCTTTACTGTTTCTTTGTGAAGTGCAATAGCTATACTGTTCTTCAATATGATGGAATTCCAAAAGTATGAGAAAATTACTGATTGCTTGCTGAGTAGATATAAAAGGAAGTCTGGACAAATTCATTTTCATACATATGTGATCAAGGACTAGGAGGAAAAAAGAAATATCAAAAATTAACAGTTATTTCTATCATTTCTTAATTTGTAGAAAATGTATTGAATATTTAGTTGCCTTGGTAGCTGTTTGTTTGGTATTATTCCATCCCAGAGCAGGGAACATGTCTGTTGCAAACAACCAGATTCCCACATGAAGAGTTCAATTAGCTATTTTGTTGCTCATAATATCAGAAACTTCTCAGACTGGTGGTTTCCACCCAGGCCACACTAAATAAGGTTTAATGGCATTTGGGGGAGGGTTTTGGACCTTGCCCTCTTGGGCCTGTGTAGAAATTAATTCCCTGCTTGATTTCTCCTCCTGGTTTGGCCAGTCCTTCTGTGACATCACCTTGGTGGTCAAGACCTGCATTTGTCCTTTGGAACAATTACAGAATTGTAGTTGCATAAAACTGGGTCGAGTCTAGATAAAAAGTGATTGAGATGCTTGTGATTATTAGTTCTCAATTGTCCCCCGTCTTATTTTCTTTTGGGCCCCCAAAATAAGCAACAGGTCTTATTTTGGGGTGATGTCTTGTCCGCTTACCTTAGTACCACTCAGCCACACATATGCCCCAACACCTGTCTTGCTGCTGTCTGACTTCTGCAGCTGCTCATGGCCAGATGCCATGTGGCTCATTGCGCTGGTGCTGCCACTGGCAGCTGAACACTGAAGGGCTTGTTGCAATGGTGGTGCTGCTGATGGCAGGATGCTGCTTGGTGTACTGTGCCTTGCCGTGTCCTGCGAGCGGCAGCACCAGCGTGATGAGCCTTACACCCAGTGGATGCAAGCGGATACAGAAGTTGGGCAGGGGCATGGCAGCTGTCAGGGCGTGAAAGGTCTGGCTGTGGCGGTCCTAAGGTAAGTGGGTGCGGGTTGCATGGGGCAGTTCCACTCCCCACCCCAGCTTGACTTTTCCGACTGCGCCTTGCCCTACCTCGTATAACCATATGGTGGGCAGGGCTTAACTAGGGCTTAATTTTGGGATAGGGCTTATATTAGGTACAGGTGTGAAAATAGAGCTAGGGCTTGTTTTTGTCGTAGATCATATTTTCTGGGAAACGTGATAATAGCCACAATTATTATTGGCTATTCAATACCTGTTGGTGACACAACAATTGCTATTGCTCTTTATACAGCAGTCTTTTTTTTTTTAAGAAATTTTATTTTGGTTTTCACAAAACAAAGAAAAATAAAACATGTCTTTTAGTGAACAGCTTGGTTCCAGTTTTTCAAATCTCCATACAGATATAATCTCAGTTACATATTCATCTTTTATCTTTCACATTCACATTATCTTTCACATATCACTACTTTAAATATTCTTTATTAATTTTTCCCCTCAAATACTTCCCACAGGCTTATTTTATAACTCATTCATATCTAAATCCTTTTCAAACCTTTTCAAGGTTTTCATATTTTCAAAATAATTATACTTTTATCTGTCCTGTGTACAATTTCAATCCATATCCACATTTCAAACATTACAAAAAAAAAAGATTTCCCCTATGGTTGCCAATTAAAGTGTGTCACCTTCAGTGACCTGAAATCACAGATACAACTCAAAACACAAGGAATTGAAATTGGGTGGTGGCTGTACCTCCAAATTCAAACAAAATATAAAAAAGACAAGGAACAATTTGGATTTTACAACAAAGAACAGGAACTAGACAAAATGTTACAAAGAAGTGGAAAAAAATGATTACTAAATTATACAATTGCTCATTGGAATTTAAAATAGAAGGGGAAACGGTTAAGGAGAATATGATAATATGGGCTAAAAATTACGGTCATAACATCCACTTAGAACAATGGGAACGAATATGGCAAACCAACTATAAATTAATGTTATCAGTATCATATAAAGAGAATATAAAATGTTCTACCGCTGGCACCTTCCACCAGCAAGATTGGCAAAAATGTTTCCCAATATGTCACCCAAATGCTGGAAGTGCAATCATAGCCAGGGAACATATTTTCACATGTGGTGGACATGCCCCAAAGCTCGAAAATAGTGGTCTAAAATACAGGGATGGCTGGAAGAGATGACAAAATTAAAGATTAAACTCAACCCAGAGACCTTATTGGGAATGCCAGAACTGTCTTGGAGTAAAAAACAACAGCATCTAATACTACACATCATCACAGCAGCAAGAATAGCCTTTGCCCAAAATTGGAAATTAACAATGGTACCCACATATTTAGCAGTAATCAACAAAATTTACCAATGCACAGAAATGATTAGATTAACTATGATATTAAAAAACAAGGAAGAGGGAGAATTTTTTATAACATGGAACACATGGTACAAATGGTTAAATGAAAAGGAAATAAAGATGTATAAGTGAAAATGATTGAAGAAATATGGAACAACAGAAATAAGGATAAATGTATAGCTATGAATATATGTATAGTATAGCTATGTATACAGGTGTAGTAGTGTAGTAACATAGGAAAACAAACTATTACGACGTATTAATAACGTAGATGTAAGAAATCAGGAATTAGATTTAAGATATCTTTATAGTAAATGATCTTAATTAACACTAATAGAGATATACACTGTTATGAAAACACTAAAATGTGAGAACATGATTCTCTTTTTAAAATATTTTTTCTTGAATAAAAACTATTAAAAATAAATAAAGTGTGTCACCTTCATATAGTTGATTTCCTTTCACATCCCATTAAAAATTCTACTTCTAAATTATCCCATTAAACAATTATAATTCCCATCACCTAATAGCTATATTATAACATAAATCCCTTTTTAGTCAGATTCTGCATGGTACTTCCCCTTTAAATTACCTCTAAACAATTTTAAGTTTAAAAAAATAATAATAATAAAAAGGAAGAAGATAATCAGTTCAAATTCATCCTAAAAAAAGGAAAAACTGGTATTTCCCTTACAATCCATCTTGTAATTCATTTCAATCATATTTTATAAATCCTTAATATACATTAATATAATTCAATTGTATTTTACATATTTTTGTTTTTTGTTTGATCTAATTGTTATCGAGCATTTTATTAAGTAACAATCCCCATTTCATCTTCCATTTTAATTATGTATATTTTCCTGCTTTCTACATAATTTCTTATTTCTAAAATATTTATACAATCCCTTATCACCATGCAGAATCCTCTATTTTAGTTGTATTTTCAACCATTATCTCTGTCTATCAATCAAATTATTTCCTTTAGTTCTTGTTCGTTTCCCATATTTCTTTATTTCCTGATTCTGTTTTTTATAACTTTTTTCCTCTTTATTTTCTCCTTTTTCTCACTCCAGTTTTTCCCCCTCCCTCTTTAATGCTTCCTTCTGTAATCCTCCCTTCTGCTCTTTCCTTATATTTTGTTTATTTCTCACACTGTTCCTTTTTCTGATTACCTCCTCTAATATCCAATTTTTAAGTCCCTTTTCCCCTTTTTGAGTTTCAAACCTCATCCCAATTTTTTATTAACGATGGCCTCTCCTTTATTCAAGTCTTCTTCTTCCTCTGAAGTTTTTCGCTGATCCTCATAGTCCAAAACTGTTATTTCCAGAAATTGCAGAGCAAAGCCAAACAATTCTCCTTGTAGTTGCAGTTGTTCCTTCATATTTTTTAATTCCATTTTCAGTTCCAAGTAAAGTTCTGCCATCTTTCAATGCTTCCCAGTACTTTTAGACAACCAAATTCTATAAGATTGCTTCCCAGAATAAATTTCATTGTATCCAGTAATAATCCAATGTTCAAAGTTTCCAAAATCATCAAACAATTCCAGAACAGTTTTTTCTTGCTTCTTTCTTTGTTACAAAGTTCCAAGCTCCACTTTCACTTTCCAGGGGCTCTATTTGATTGTAGCAAAATTTCATTTACTTTGTTATTCTTTAAAAGTATTTTAAAAGTTCACATTAATTTCTTTTACCATCAAGTGGCAGTCTTTAGTATGTCCAAGTTCCACCCCCTTTTTCCCTTCCTCCGCTTTTTCTTCTTTTCTGGCTTTTAAGTTTAAAAAGTTCCTTGTTTGCCTTTTTTCACTTTCGATTTCAGCTTTAATTTTGCCTATTTAGTGTCAGGATCATTTTCATTATTTTCCTCTTCTAACTTTTCTCTCAAAATTCAAAGCCGCTTCCAGTTGTCAGATCTCCCCCCCCCCTTCATTGCCGCAGCTTTAAAAGTCTTTTCCAAAGAATTCTTAAGTATTTTAGCTCCAGGGTACCTTGTATTCAGATGTTAATCCTGCTTAGCCCAGTCACCCAAGCTGTCTTCCTTCTCCACTCCTGCATGATTCTTGTCCAGTCAGATCTTCCTCTTTGTAATGGCCATTTTGGCCACCTCTGCATCTGCCTTCAGAGAGGAATTTTATGCCTCACCAAGGAGGGGGAATGCGGCTCCCCTCAACTCAGCTGGCATTCTCCCCTTTTTCCGCCACTTCTACTGGGTGGCTTCGGCCCCAAATCAGGTAGATCAGGGCCCTCCAGCGGCGAGCACAGACCGAAACTGCGGACTTCCAAGATTTTGGTCCGTCGCCAAGGGAGCCTAACCGGAAGCTCTTTATACAGAAGTCTTAAAGCAGCCTTTCTGTGAGTCATTGGATCTATGTAGCAATAGTATTTAGACCAGAAGTATCAAATTCAATTTCATTGTGGGCCTCATCAGCATTATGGTTGTCCTCCGGGGGAGGGGGGAGGGGCATGGCTGGGATGGTCACAGCTGATGGGGCATGGGCAGCTCAATCTTGCTTGTGCAGGCCAGGCAGTATTTGAGAAGGAATCCAGCAGTCTACGGCAGGTGGGGTGAGGGGCGGGAGACTTGTCCCACAGGATGAGGTGTA